GTGCTGCCTATCCCTCCGCGCACAGGCTTTCCATCCAGCGGCGTGTCGGCGCGAATTTTCCGGCGGCGGCGCTGGGTGGCCAACAAACTGTTGCGCCGCCTTTTCCGCCAACCGCCGGTGCTCCTGCTCCACTTTGTGCCGCCACCTGACTTTCTGGCGTGCAGATGGGGTGTTGGGCGTAATCTGCACCCAAAGTGCATGACGGGTGTACAAACGTACGAATACACAGACCCATATTCATCAGTCATGCATTTGCAAGCGCAGCGGAACGGAGAAATGCATTTGACGAGCGACACCTACGGGGTCGTGCGGCAAAAACTTTCTCTGTCCGCGGGCGCCACTGCAGCGACACCTGCCGTGTGGCTCCAACACTATTGGCTCAGTCTGTGCGCCCACGCCGTGCCGCGAGCACCGATAGTGCGGACCTACACATTGTTCAGCGTTCTTGTCTTTCCGATTGTCCACCGCCACCCCGCCGCCGCCTGTGGTACTGTGTTTCCATGCATTGCTGGCTGTGTAAGCGTAATCTGCACCCAAAGTGCATGACGGGTGTACAAACGTACGAATACACAGACCCATATTCATCAGTCATGCATTTGCAAGCGCAGCGGAACGGAGAAAATGATATGTATTATCTTGCTATAAAATCCCGTGTACGATTTCAAATGCGTATCCGTGTGTGAGGGATAGCGTGCCGGTCGGTGCAATGATGTCTGTATGATCCAATTAGAGGACGGCAAAGAGTTCGTTATCTGGCAGTGGGCTCCATATTGAGCTGGGAGTTGTCGCCGCTTTGCGTGCAGTAGGGTACTGCGTCTGTGTCGCAGCACAGCCGCGACACAGAATGGCCACTCCCGGCATCACGGCAAAATGTTTCAGCAATGCATAACGACGCCATTCAGCACAGCCATCGGCACTACGACTCAATCCGACACCATATAAAGCGAGTCAGGAACAACCCAACAGTGCGATCAGCAAAGTCGGAGTGTTGTGGCGTAACGCCTTCGGATTTAGTTGCGACATTTTCCTCGGTCAGCTGGCTTGGCGTCTGCGACTCTCCCGAAGCGCTAACATTCCGGCTTTATTTACGCATCAGGAGCTTTCAGGAACATTGAAATTCATCGGGAACAAATAAGCAGACCCCCCAATTCAAATCGGAGGCGCAGAGTCATACAGAAACACGACAATGCATGGCATGTTAACATGAGTGGCTCGGTGAGCGTGAGTGTGGGCATCAAGTCGACGAAAGGAAGAATAAAGCATGTGCGACAAGCACACAACCAAAAGATTTTCAACCAGCTGAAAGTCTACCCAAGGATCGTCTGGCAGACTTGCTGAAGACATGTGTGCTCCTTCAAGTAATAAACGAACCAGCGACAGCCACCATATTTGGCTAGCCCAAAAACTACGCTCTTGAGAGTGATTGCCGTTGCACAATGTTTTGCATCAAAATCGGCGGAGCCTGATGTCACTATGACGTCATTTCCCGCCGACCTATGGTAGTTAAGAAATTTTCCTTTGAACACAAGGTTGTCAAATCGATGCAGCGGAAGGTACACTCGGGGCCCGGGGGCAGATTGATGTTCCACCACTCCCTACCCATCGTGATCGGGCTCCCATGACTCAGCACTGCAAAAAAAATGGGGGCATGCCCCCCCCCCCGCTCCGACGCCTATGTTTTTTTTTCTTAATGGTACAAATCATCCAGATTCATATGAGAAGGGTAGGTAGCTAGCTACAAAACCAATGCCTCAATTGTTTATTGTTTTCTTACAATAAGTCCCTCCTCTGCCAATCGCACTAAACTATCTACTGTCACAATGCAGTGTGCGTCATGACTTCTCAACTCTATGCATACAATACATTTCCATTTGTCAATCACACATTATTTTTTTACAGGCTTTCCGGTTATGACTGAGGTCGGCATCTCACCTGTCCTGGCTACGCCAAATCACTGCGGATGCCGGATGCCGAGGACCGGAGAGCCAACCGCTTTGTGGCGTGAGCTCTGTGGCGTGGCTCGAGTGATCACCAGGTTCTGACGGCTAAGGCGCCGTCGACCTGGTTGAATAGCTGGGGCCTGGACGAGGGTGTCCTCAGTACGGTGGCCAATCGGTTACGTCCGAGGGGCGCTCGAACACGCTGCCGTCGCGTGGCTGCCGGCGGCCGCCTCCTCGCACGTGGATCTCCTGGGGCGAGGACTGCGAGAGGCGGCCGCATCATCACCTGTGTCCGCGCTCAACACCGTGCCACGCACTAATGGCGGAAGCCCGACTTTCTCCGATGGAGGAGTGAAGCTGGACGCTGGCTCATGGCTGCCAGGCTGCTGGGGAGGGCGCTGGCTCTGCCACCAGGGGACCCCCTGCGCGCGACCGCCGAGGCCTCGGCACCGGCGCGCCTGTCTTCGGTCCGAGGCTGGAGATTGCGAGGCCACCAGGCCTGGGCGAGAATTCCACCGTGGCAACAGACGGCTGGTGTCACCTTCCGGTTGGACGTGTGCCCGATCCGGGCTGGGGCCACGGCGGCGGCGGAAAGGGAAAGCGTGGCTACGCTGCACCTCGCGTCCCTGTCCCTGTGTGCCGTCCGGCTTTGGACGGACGGACCTGCGGAGGGCGGAGTCTTCAGGGGCTGGGCGGGAGCCGTGCTGGTCTGGCCGGACGAAGAGGCCGAGGAACTGCGGGCCCCGGTCGGAGAGCTGTGCTATAGCTACCGCGCGGAGATGGCGGCGCTAGTGACCGGTCCGGAGACCCTACTCGGAAGAGACAGAGACCAGGACCTGCGGTCCGTACCTATCTGCTAACTGTGCGGTGGTGCTGGTGTAGTGCAGCATTTTTGGATGGATAGCTACATTTCACGATTAAATAGCTGTTACGTTTCAGTGCAGGTGGCGTGACGAACAATGTGGTATCTGTTGGCCACTTCTGCGGCCGCTGCTATTTCCTACTCGAAGGCGGGCGCGCTGCTTGGCTGGGCCGGCAGGATGTTCCCATTACATATGTGTCGAGGACAAAGCGAGTATATTCATGTTCTTTTAATGCTCAGAGGTCTGTTGTATATTTGTCTGAAGTTTTATTTTAAGGTGACGTTTGCGTATGGCAGATTCATCTTCTCTCTTTCATTTTTGTTGCCACTTTAGCGTTCATGTTTATTACCTATAAGTGTCCTGGTCCGGCTTGGTTGTCATCTTTATTCGTGATAAAAGATATGTCTAATCTCTTCTGTTAGAAAGTCGTCACTGCAAATCCGGAAAGCTCGTAAGAAAAAGCCAATCACTATACCACTTTTTACGCGCTCACTATGACCCGATAAATAGTGTACGTAATCTTCCTTGTTCGTTGGTTTGCGGTACACTGAAAATTTTTACCCCACTTCCACATCTCATTATGAGTGTGTCCAGAAAAGGTATTTTTCTGTCGTTTTCTCGTTCGATCGTAAATTGAATTTTCTCTTCCACCTGATTGAGGTTTCGTAGTTTTTCGTCAAGGCAAACATCTTGCGGGACCACCACTAACACGTCATCAACATAACGGAGCCACGTACATTCATTTCCCATAATGCTTTTAAATCTGTTTTCTTCTAAGCGCTCCATATAAAAGATGTATTTTATTTTACGAACATGCTGGTGATCAATGCAATACACTTTTGGTTAATAATGCTGCTTTAGCTCTGATCCTTTGTGGTATGTCTTGATTTTACGACTGCAATAGTGCTTTTCCTCACCAAAATATGCAGGTAACCATTGTAAATGCTGCCAAAAGTTTGTCATTACGTGATATATCTAAAAAAAAAAAAAAAAACATCAAGTTCCTGAACGTGGTCGTGTACTAGTAACCGGAAACTCAATAGGACGTGGAATTCTGTGAAGCAAAACTACAGAAGTGAGGCTGGCCACGCCAAAATCAAGTGAGATACGTCTAGCCTTTCTTCAGCCGCCAAGGCTTCGACAGACTATCCCCGGGTTCGGTGTCTCTCGAACTACGAAGATTCAACGTCGTCCGGCCAATCCTGGTTAAGGTCAGCGGGGGCTTAGCTGTGGTTATGGAACAGGATTGGCCGTCCGAGAGACTCCGAACCTGGGGTATGTTGCAGCACAGCTATGCCAACCGAGTGTCGTCGCAAGCTGCCCCACTCGACGAGAAAAATAAAACCGTCCCATCCTAGGCTGACTAGGCTTAGCTAGGTGGCAACACAGTCGCGCCGGCAGGGGGCAGTGCCACAACCAGCCGACTGATATTTTCGTGTGACGTCAGAACCGGTGCCTCCCTGGTGCCTCCCCCCGCGGCGGCCGTGACCTTGGCGGCCCGGCTGCTGCCTGGGGGCGCGGTCACCTGACCTCGGTCGGGTCGGCCGGGCCGGCTCGGGGTGGTGAGTGGCAGAGCGGGCGCGAACGTGGGCACCGCAGGTTCGTGGACTCACTTTCTGTAACCTGAATAAACACTAAATATTTTACAGACAACCCACGTGTTAATCGGCGGCGACCACACCAAGATGGCACGAGTCATTAAGTTCCCAAAGTGGCTGCGTGTTAAGGGGTGAGAAAGAGTCTTTGGGACTTCTTTTCGGGGCGCTCAAAGCCGGTCCCGTGGATCATCTGGCCACGTGATGGCACGACCCCAGCCGACCGGTCTGACCCGGTCACACGGACCGCTCAGCCAATCAGAAGCCAGGGCCAAGGCCGCCCGGCCGGCGTGGGACTGGGCGGCGCGCGCGCGGGCCACTTGGTCGGCGAACAGCGACAGCGGCGGACGACCCTTCAGCAGCACGAGCGGGGGCCTTTTTGCAACAGGCAAAAGCACCGAAGGTGAGTAGAAGGAAGCTACTTAAGCACTAAGTACGCTTAGGATAAGTATCCGGCAGCTGGGCGGGGTCCGTCACGGTCCTATCTTCCAGTACAAAGGTTCTGGCACAGTCCCTGCAGTCTATGACAACGGGCGGTGTCTGCGCTTCCTTGCAGTCCTTTGACAGCGGGCGGTGTGCCATCGTTATTTTCTCAGGCGCAGTGATGGGCATGGTTACTTGCATGGTCCTCGTTGTGGCTGATGTATGCCCTCAAAACAGTCAATACATCTTAAATTCAGCCAGTCGCATTGTTTGCTGGGGTTTAGGTGGCAATGGTACTCGGTTTGGCATAGTGATATCGGTATGGTAATTGGTCGACGTAAGTGCTAAATATTCTTCGCCATGGGTGTTGGACGGTCAGGTAATGTGTGACGCGTTTCAAGTGTTGAAATGTTAATTCTACCTATACTGCAGGGCAGCGGAAAATATTTGATGCGACTCTGGGACACGACAGCAAGCGAATAAAACCAACAAACCCCTGATGGCGGCACGCACCAACCAGCCACAACATGCAAGTCTTGTTTCGCAGCCCTTGCTGCTGATCTTTAGTTCCTTGTTGATGGCCCTGTTCACGTCGATCTGTCATCTACATTGTACACGCCCTCGGTCGTACCGGACGTGGCGCCAGCCCTAAACGTCACTCCCACTACCACGGTCAAGGTCGTGTCTGGGCTACAGGGCCCACGACCGACGCACCTGCCCTCTCTGGTGTGAGGTAAATACTGCTGATTTTTCCGCCGACGTACTGCTTGCCACACGCTGGAAACGTGACGTGTTATAGTAGTTCAGCCGTGGTGCTGTAGTGTGTGGTGCGACGTGTGTAACATTACGTGTGTAACACTCTGGGTCCCTAGTGTCGATCCTGCCTGGAAATCTTGTGCCAGGCGACCAGTGTCGAAATCATAAAGGAATCCAAATCACGAACAACGTCGATTTCGAAAAGCGTGCATCCCTGGCTCACCAGCACTCCCTATCAGCACACCCATAACGGCAAACTACACCGAGCCAGCACTCAGTCATCCAGCGGAGCCAACGGATTCCTACATCACTGATTTACAGTGTACGCTACCGGGAAGACGGTGCCCAATCAGCTCCCATTTGTCCGACCGGCGCCGGTTCAATGGCGCAGCCTGTCAGAGGTGTCGGAGCCCGTCAGCGGGCGGTGCGTTCGGACGGCCGCCGCCTGTCCGGTCGTATTGCAGTGAGCGCTAATCCGCGGCGACTGTGGTGTGCCCTCGGATCCCGGCAGCCCCACGAAGCCTCACCGATCGTGTCCGGCTCGTCGGCGGTGGTGTATTCCCTGAACCACTCCAGGCACAGCTTCTCGTTGAAGGCCGTCACTCGGCGCCCGCTGAAAATGCAGAAACCGCTCCGGTTAGGTGGGACAGATTGATCAAGAGTGTCAAACGGGTGGCCACGTGACCCAGTGTACCAGAAACCGGACAGAGGGCAGTGGACACACGGGTAATAGACGCCGGACACCGGACACGGGACACGGACACGGGACACAGGACACCGGACAACGGACAACAAACGGACCCTGACCGGCACCGGGCGGCCCGGTCAGGATTCGTACAGAGTCCATTGACGCACTGCAAAACTAATCCCATGGTGATAAGAATTGTCGCCCCTTGTTCACTCGTGATGATAATAACTGGTGACACAGAACATCTTTCAACTCGAGTAGTGCACTTTGGTATCAATATTCTGCCAACCACAATTCATGCATTTTCCGACAAGTCCGCACACACACCACAGGCAAGACAGAAGTGTCAGTAGCTCGCCTCGCTCACTAGCGTCACACGTTGAACAAATACAAATATCCTAACGTCACTTTTGGCAAAGCACTGTACATGCACAATACACGACGCCATGATTGCATGCATGATTATTAGTATGCATGATTGCTTCGATTAAAATCGACTAATTTCATCATTCACTAAAACAATCAGGAACTTACAGAGCTAGGAAGACGCATCGCCATCCAATCAAGCAGAATAATGAAAAGCACGAACACCCGATGGATGAACTGATTATACAGTCTCATAAGTGGACTCCAATCGGCACATTTTAATTGCTTCGGCCGACAGGTGAGAAAGTGTTTTGACAACAAATGATTGGATAGAGGCTTTTGCTGTCAAACTACGTACTATCTTTCGGCAAACTACACTTGTTTTTGTGTCTCGTAGCCCGACCGCAACCACTGCGGGCATTTCTACACAAGATTTGTGACAGACAGTGCAAATGGCGTCTACGTGTTAGGTTAGGAACAACCGTTATTACGGAGCGATGTAGGTAGGCACCCACTAGGCACTGCATATCCATGTGCCAGAGTTGGGGTGCTGCTGCACGTGCGCACGTGCAGGGGTCGTTTCCAGATCTCGAGAACGGCTCGACCGATTGCGCTCAAATTTGGTACACAGTTAGGGACCGGTTAGTAGGGTGCCGTGCACAAGTCAGTTATGACCCATTTTGCACGTGCGCACGTGCAGGGTGCCGCTTCCAGATCTCGAGAACGGCTGGGCCGATTGTGCCCAAATTTGGCACATCGCTAGAGACCGGTTAGTAGAGTGCCGTGCACAAGTCAGTTGGAGGTACCCCCTCGAAATTCCGCACGTGCAAGGCCCACCCTCTCGCTCGCTCCGTTAGTCGCCCCAAAAGGCGTTATACTGGTTATATTTACCAACGATGTCATAAAATTTTGCCATTGCCAAAACACCCTAAAATAAAACGTCGGGTAGGTTTGTATTTGTAATTTATATTGCCCAGTCAACGCTTATAAACAAATAATCATGCTGGAAATAAACCATCGGGAGCGAGCACTGAAACACCTAGATGAAAGGATCTCACCTCACCTCGTATCCCACACACCGTTAAACAGCAGATCAACAAAAGTATGAACATCTGATCAATCAAACCTCCAGAAATATTGCACCGGCAGTCACAAGCCGCGATCTTCTTTGCCTCGGAGACAACTCCACCGCGGACCACCTCACCTCCGCTGTCCGTCCCCGGCCATCTCCGTCCTCGTCCACGGCTTGCCACCTGTTCACCATTTACACCACGGAGGGCGGGCCCTATCCGCAGCACCGAACGGTCAGTGGCGGTGGAAAGCCCACGCTGGCACCGGGCCACAGACGCGCCCGTGGTCACCCTGAGATCGGCAGGCACCCGGCCGGGGAGCGAATAAACGCACCGGAACACTTATCGGCTCCTCGGCATACCAGATACGGGTGGTAGAGTTCTCTGACACCCGCGGCACCCAGCAGCCGGTGTTAACAATGTTTGCATACAGACAGCGTCAATCAACGAGATTTGGGTACACGTCATGCGTGGATGCCATACTGAAATTGCACTGTTTTAGTTTCATTGTTATTCCTTTGTTAATTGCAGAAAACATGGTAAAATGTCCAGTCCCCTCCCCTCTTTTTGGACGGAGGAATGGCATAAGCGTTCATAGAAATGAAACGTGAAGCCTAACCGTGAGTACTGAGTGATATTGGTGTGATCGGTCTCGGCCTTTTACTGATTCACTGATCCCCGCTACCTCTCAGATCCACAAAGCATTCTCGACCCCTGAAAGGGTGAATATTCGTCGCGACAACCCTATCGCAGTCCATCAAAGATAGGAGGCAAATTGAGCCGCGCCGCACAGAGCACGGCCGGCCGGGAGACTCTCAGCACCGCCGCCCGGGCTGCGATCCGAGTCGGCAGTTGAGCGCGCAGCCTTTGTCGCCCCGGCGCTGCTTTCAGTCGGCCAAACGGCTCCGTGAAGCCAATCTCCCGAATCGCCAGGGGCCATTGTGCCGGCCGCCGGCCGTGTCGGTGTCGCCGGGCGCGCTCCGCGGGGTACGACGACCGTCCGATAGGCGGCCGGGTGGCCGGCGGGACGGTAACGCCGGCTCCTGATGGACGGCAACGGCGGGCGGCGCCTGACTGACGGACCGCACAGAGGGCCGACAGAGACCCTAACGGACCGGCTCCTCACAGACCCCGCGGCCGGCGCCTGACGGACCGCACTGACGACCGACGGCCCCTCACAGACCCGCGGCCGTCACCTACCACACGGTTCCTCACAGACCCCACGGCTGTGGACTACCCAATGGCCCCACGCAGGTGGGTGACAACAGTCAACGTCCCCTTACAGAGCTCACGCCGAGGACAGCCGCCGTAGACTGATGGGCCCCATGCCGGAGTCGCGAGTCTCTGACCACACGGCAGGCTGGCTGACATCGCTCACGGTCTGGGTCGGCCCGTCAGCCAAACACTCAGCCACCAAAACACGAATATAGCCAAGGACATCAGGCAGGATGTCGGAAAGGGCCGATATGACGCCACCACGTCCTTAACCATGTATCTGAGCCATTGGTGACCGCACGCCGGTGCCGGCCCGGGGGCCTGGCGCCGGGACTAACCTGAGGTGATGCTGGCTGGCCCGGTGCCGCTTCGAGCTGGCGTGCCGCGACGGCGCGTCCAGCTGCTCCTCCGACCGTTTTCGGCCCCGGGGCATTTCTGCTTGACCTTGACCCTGATCCTGCAGGCTCTGCAAACAAAGCAATCACTCAGCGGCGCACAACACACAGCAGCGGCTACCGGCTATCTGATGGACGCAGCTCCTCGTCAGCTTAGATAAGAGCGCCTTTAGTGCCCCAAAGAACAACGGTAAGACGAGGACACAAAGTAAAAGCGGAGTTGGATGAATAAAGCAATGATTAAGATAGTTAATGCACTCCCTTACGTTGCAATTCAGCAGCAACTGTTATCAGAATTTTTTTCTATGCAGTTTCGGAGCCTCGTCTCGTATTGGACGATGGTGGCCGGATCTGAGGAGATTTCGCGACTTATTAAATATTCATTGGACATTCGTTGCCTTAGTGACGTCAGCCATCAAGCATCATGGGTCACAGCAGAAACATATAAGGGGCGTTCAGCTTAAAGGGACCCTCCCACCTTCAAAAAAGTTAATGAATTGGCATGAAAGTGATGTCGCTCAGTTCAGAAAGAGCAAAAACGAATATCTACCAAACTTCATCGAAAAATATTCACCGGTTTTCAAGATATTAGACTTTTACTTTTGTTTACTTTTTGGGATCTCCGCTGTTCCTAGCGACTTTATTTGAAAGTGCGGCATTTGTTGCGCGCAAAGCAGCATATACCACCGCGTGCTACAAAACGTTTTAGTCAAACATTTAACGGACGTTCGAAAGCCTGATGACGTCATCAGATTCCCGTAATGGTTAAGAGATAGGGACCACGCTGGTCCCACCCTGCAAGTAAAGGGAAGAAATTTCTTGAACACCATAAAGCTGCGGGGGTTGCGACCAGGATAAATGGTGGTTTCTGAGCCTGGCCGCAAACTTGGCTATCTCAACTCAAAACTAATGTTAAGGTGGGAGGGTCCCTTTAAGGATTACTTTAGTCATTGAGCTGTCGGCCAAACCAAGGGAAATCGGGTCGGGAGTGTTTGCTTCTATAGCCGCACAGACCATTGCCAGCCCATTGGCTTGTCATAAATGCCACAATCCCGTCAGCAACGAATTATTCTCGAAGTCCGAACCACAAAGATGTCAGCAGCTAGGTGTGCTGACAGCTGTCAGCTCCGAACACACCAGTCGCCTAGCGAAGGCGAGGAAGATAAGGAAATATTACTCCGGTGCCATTTGTCGCAGCCCACCACCCAGCCAGTAACGAAGTCATGCGTCATATCTGCCGCAGTTACAGATACACATCGCTACGGCTACGAGCGAAGTTGGCAAATTCGTCCCGCTCATGACGCCGGGGTGTCGTCAGCACGCGTCCCCATTCTTCAGGTGGGAAAGTTTCGAACGCGACCCGAGCCCGCCTTTGGTGCTCGCGGAGCCCGCCTTTGTGGTTACAGCCCACCAACTTGGTCCATTCGTCATCCGCATCTCATCTTCGGCCTTCCCAAGATGATTTCACTCGACGATGTTAAAAGACATTCATAACCACGTTCAAGTGATCAGCTTAATCGAAAACGAGCAGCCATACTACAAGCAAGGCCCTATATACTACAAGTAGGTATTCCCGATCGCGACTGGCCGAATGGCTTCACCCGCCTCAAGGCTGTTGCAACCAACAGCTGAATATCCCGTAATGAATTACCGGATCAAGCACCGGAGCAGCGCTTGTCTGTGCATCTACATGGCTAAGGGTCAGTGCATGCAGTTATAGGCTTTTTGCTCAAACTCACCACCAACAGTGAACATGTGCAATGTGCAATAGCTGATGATTGCGATGAAAATATCCAGCCTGCAGCTAGACAGCCTGGACAGAATATAAATAATTGTCTGTGTTTCTCTGTTATCATTGAGCACTGCTGTTTTGCTGACATGGATGGTGAAGTCAACGAATAAATGAAAACAAAACAGTTTTTGTTTCAGACAACTAGGCTAAGTGTGCAGCTGCCAGCTAGACTGGACTACACTGCAGAGTGCAGATTCTCCAATATTCATGCCCTGAAGTGATGCAAAGACTTTTGCTGCAAACTAGTGCATTTTTCCATTACCTCCCAACAAGAAGGATCCTGACCCTGACCCTTCTTGTCCTGCTTTCTAACTTTGCAGAAAATTAACATGAAAAAGTGTTTTGATGTGTGGACAAATATCTAATCTATGCTCTGTCGCTCTGTTGAAACTATTTTGGTTAAGATTCTTGCATTCCCTGGTTTTTGTCTCATGGTTTTGTTTTGTGTTAAATTTCATGTGACTGTATGTCAATTCAGAAAACAAGTAAATGCAAGACTGTCAGGAACTGTGTGTTGGAGGACACCAGTAAAAAAGTATCAGTTATTTAGGGTAAATAGGTACCTATACCTACCAAATACCAATGTCTCCCAACCATCCAACTCTTTTCCTGTGACCATAACAGTTGGTACCTATGTCAAAATGAAAAATATGTTAAGAAGAAGAAAACTTTATTTTACTCCAACTGAAAGCAAAAAGCAGACTGGTAGACATATAGGTACACCAGGGCATACCATTGTTCTTCTAACACTTACCAAGGTCCCAAATGAGTAATCCAGTGAGGAGGTTGGTTCTGGCTCCTGATTAAAAAACGCCAGCGTCCAGGAGACAGAGAGAATGCCGCAGAGTTATGACTGCTCAAACCTGTAAAATAATTTTATGCTGTAAGATAAGGGGCAATGAATAACAGTGTGAATTGGTGTACCGTCCGAGATGTTTCAAAATCCATTTTCCATTGTTGAAGGGTAAGATCTTGCAGTTGACTGGCAGGAAATGTTAGATAAGTGCATTATAGCATGTTGTTACTAATAAAATTCATTTAGCCCAATTTAAGCACCATGGAACATTCTCCTCTCCAACCCACTATGCCATTCTAAAATTGAGCACATACACTGCACTCACTTTTACTTTGACTTATGAATGAGTGACTTAAACTATTGTGTGAAACAAAAAATTAGTTGAATGCACATGACAAATAAAGCCATGACAATAATTGTTTGTCTGTTTGTTGGGAGTTAGGGTTGTTCCGACTAAAAGATCAAGTTGCGCCCAAAACTGAAAACCATGAAAATAAAATAAATAAAAGAAAACTGGCATTAATTGAATTGGAAGTAGGTCGGTTGGTTGGTTTGGGTTAAGCACCATAGGTATCCGGTGGGGCAAGGTGCTAACCGGAACTCTCTCCATTCAATGTTAAAAAGAGTAACTTGAAATGCTGATGATTTGAAGACAAAAAGAACTTCAAACTTCTCATATGCATTCCCTCAGCACCATAATGTGAATCTGGGAAAAGCCAAGGCCGTAAAGCCAAGTCAGCCGCCAGATTGAGCTGAGCCAGTCCAGTTGGGGAAACTACGAGGCGAACGTCAAAAAATGGATTGGTCAATAAATGGACTTTTGATGTCCATATATGGGCATAAATGCAGCCCCCGCTACTAAGGGTGAAAAACGGTATTACGAGCCGGTACTTGCGGTATCGCGTCCACTTATTGGAGAGAAAAGGCTTCCATTTTTCACTAGGAATTGGTGTGATTTGATTAAATTCGGCGAATTGACTCGAAAATGGCGATAGGAAAACGGCTTTTCTACAGGTTCTGGGCGTCGCAATCAGCTGGCCATTCAATAAATGGATTGGTTTTATGAAAGAAAACTGTTAAAAAGATTTAATTTAATTACAATAAACAAAAATATTTAATTCTAAAATAATAACTTAACTACAATTAGAAAAACCATAAACAAAATAATAAAAATAATGACATTTTTAAACCACGGTACTGCTAACATTTTTTGGCGCGTGTGTTTCAATCCGCCATATTTGCCAATCACGGTTTGACCTTGCGTTGTAACTCTGCGATTTAGAGCCGCCAATTAATTATGCACCGGGCGAGTGTAGGCCTTGTGTGGTTAAAAAACATCCTTATGCCTTATTTTTTCATTTGAATGCTAAAATTCATTGAAAAGATGAAGTTGTCTGATTTTATGACCATATATGGTCATCGCCCCGCCCACTCCAGACGCTGATTGGCTAATCCAATTTTTGTTTGGCTCCTCGTAGTTTCCCCAACTGAGTCTGAGTCAGAGTCTTCACAAGCTGGACATAATAATATTGCTGCGTTATGGACATGTGGACACAACCACCTACCTAGAAAACTTGAAGTCGCCTCGTCTTTACTCTTGTCATACTAGATAGGAAGGTACTTAAATATTTTGCTAAATCATCGACGACGGGTCGTCACTTTGTCTCTTCTCAACTTCGCACCACGGAAAACAACGCAACCCCATTTTGCCGACTTCAGCCCCTCAGGTCGTGCCGATAGAAAAGGAAGTGAATTTAGACATATGTTCATTTTTCGCCCTAATAACAGTCAATTCTTTAAATCCAGCCATACAACGCCTGGTTGTGCTAACCGCGAGCGTACACTATCACCATAACCCAGCTTTTAGAACACATAAGTGACAACAAGTGCGTCATATATGTGACAATGTGGAAGCAAAAATAGATATGGAACCAATTTAACTTCAAAGGTTCGGTCGGCCTATCGAGTAGTAAAGGAATCTTGGGCCTTTGCCATTCCCGAGCAGGGGGCAGTTACTCCCAAGGCCCTATATATGTTACTCCGGCAATTTTCGCCGGTCGGCAAGTGTTACGTTAAACCGGTTTATGTGAGCCTGGTAGCAAAAACAAGAACGTGCCTCGGGCCCAGGCCAGGCAGCTCACCTCAGGACACCCGAGGCATGACCTTATCGGGAGACGACTGATGCGATGGAGGTACTGGCGGGGGCGGGGCCGCGGGCCATCCCCAAGTGACTGGCCCCAGCTGGCTGGTCTCACTCTCAGTAGAGGCTCTCCATGGTCTTAGGATGGGGAGGGGGTCCATCACAAAAAGGCACATCCTTATACCTACATTAGGCTACATTGTAAAAGTTAAATTATTGGGGGCTCGGACCCCCACAACGATGCCAGAGCCGCGGAGCCTGTGTCACTCAGCGTCACCACCGCCCCGCTCCCACTTTGCTCCCACTCACGCCGGAGACCGGGCCGGAGCTAGGGTTTCCCCTCCCCTCTCCCCCAGCTCTGCGCCGGGAGCAGGAGTCAGGCAATGGCCTGCGCCTTGCCTCTGCAGCGGTCCTGGTAGCGGTCACGATGCCCGTGACTGCATCGAGTGTCCTTCGTTCGCCAGTCGCTTCCCCGCCAGCTCGTTCGTCTGCTCATTTCATGGAAGCCGCGGACAGTCGGCACCCACTGCAGGGTGACCTCCTGAGACCTCGATCCCGACTTTGAGCTCCGTCCTGGTAAGATTGACGAAACTCACGTTTGTGTGTGTGTGCGTGTGCGTGTTTTTTTTTTTGTCAAGGAAAGACCGTGCCTAGTGACTAGTGAATCGCGATCCAAACTTCATTAAGTTTACAAAATAATATTTAGACCGTCGTTTTTCGTGGGGTTATGACATCGGTCTTTGCGTGCATTCGGCATCCGGATAGGTAATCAGGGATAATTTTACGAGATAGCCGGGATCATTCGGTGGTGATCATCTGACACCATGTATGTACAACGGACATGGCAACGAGTAAAAGAACCATTGGTGAAGCAAAGGCAACCTAAAAATGTGTTTAAAGGGACCCTCCCACCTAAACATTAGATTTGAGTTGAGATAGCCAAAATGGGGTCCCTGGCTCACAATTACCGGTTTCGGCACTCACAACATCGAGAAATGCCTTAAATCGGAAATATTGAATTTCAAAATTGCAGCATTTTGATTCAGAGGGGCTAATGCATAAGAATACCCCTCTGAATGTGTGACGTCAGCGCAGATATCTAACGATTTTTAAATGCTTGACTAAAACGTTTTGTAGCACGCGATGGTATATGCTGCTTTGCGCGCAACAAATGCCGCACTTTCAAATAAAGTCGTTAGGAACAGCGAAGATCCCAAAAAGTAAACAAAAGTAAAAGTCTAATATCTTGAAAACCGGTGAATATTTTTCGATGAAATTTGGTAGATATTCGTTTTTGCTCTTTCTGAACCGAGCGACATCACTTTCATGCCAATTCATTAACTTTTTTGAAGGTGGGAGGGTCCCTTTAATTGCATCGATGCTTCATGCAATACCTACCAAATAATTACCGGTGATCCCGGATAATCATCATCCATCATTTTCCAGCTGCCGAACGCAAGGTAAGTAGGGGAGAGTGGGGGAAATGCCCAGGGTTTTGCAATGCCATTATTCGAAAATGACGATCGGAAAGCAAAAACTTGGAATTTCAACGGAAGCCGACATCATTTTTCACTAAAAAATATCACACTTTTGTGCCTGAAATATAACTTTTTTGCTATTAAGCATTTTCCTGAAAAAGTGAAAGGGGCATCTTACCCCACAGGGTGGGAAAGACGCCCCATGGCGTTGAGGAAGATGCCCCCTCCATTATAATTGACATAAACGGGCACGTGAATCGCCTGAACGAATTGGTAGTCCGTTCGAGCCTGCAGTAGACACTAAATGTCATCGTAAGGGCCCTCAAAAGAAGTCGTAAGGGGCTTCAGAGGTCATCGTTACGGCCATCGTAGTCCAGCGCGGCCAAACAAGCCTGCGTGGTGGCGTTCGGAGACCGCTGTGGGGCCCTTCATGATGCTTGAGGGCCCTCGAGCCCATCGTGGGAACCTCAGATGCCAGCGCGGCACGTGGAGCCAACGTGGGAGCCCTCAAAGGATGTCGTGAGGGGCATTGGAGCCAATAATAGGGCCCACAGAGGCTGTCGTGAGGGATCTCAAAGTCAGATGCCGCCCAAAAAGTCGCTGTGTAGGCCGAGAGACCGGCATGGGAAGCACCCGACCGTACTGGACTCTCAATAGTCCCAGATCGGCTTTTGTCTCTCATCACAAGTATGTAATAAATGATTTGACGGGTTGCTTGAAGGACAGCCTACGGATTTAGGGGGAGGGATTTAGAGGGACAGCCTACGGATTAAGAGGGTCTTTCCCCATCACTCATCAGGGCAGGGGGCATCTTACCCCAAGGTACCGAATTAACATTAACCCTATTCCTGGCGGGCTCCGCCGGGACAAGAAACTGGCGGGGGGGGGGGGGCCGATTCGGCCCCCCCCCCCTGAGATCTCGAGAACGAAGCAAGATAGCGACAAACGGTAAACGGCATCAGATACGCACGGTCAAGATCTACAATTTTTACAAAGGTCATTTTCAGGTCAGGTCAAAGATGACGTCACAGGGGTCGAAAAAGTCAAAATGGCGGCGCTAGATATGGAGAGAGTTTTTCTCGAATAACTTTCGAATTAGTCAAGATAGGAACAAACTAAGGGCATCATCGTGATCCTCTCGTCAATCCGCATCGAATGATATATATGTTGACCTCGAAAGGTCAAGGTCAAAGGTTGACCTCAGGTCACGTGACCTCGAGGTCATCATGTATATCATTCGATGCGTCTTGACGAGCTGGACACAATGAGACCATCCACGCGTCTGTATCTTGTTCCTGTACGGAGTTATTGGCCAAAAACCTTTGGTGACCTTTGATGACGTCACATGACCTCACAGCTGCCCAACAGCAAAACAGACCTCAAGGTAGTGAAGGTTGATCGTATATGAAGTCATGTATGGTATATGGGGCCATTCCGACCCGTTTTAGT